CTACTTTCTAAAACCGCACTAGATTTCTTTTCCTTAAGCCAGATCTATACCTAAAACGTGGCTCTGGTACCAATGTGAAAACTGTTAGATCATAGATCTAGCCTTTGACTGTCCTATTCGGTATAACATGTAAAATGGTAGATCCTAATACATCTAGAACAGTCTAGAGAGAGACAGGGAGAGAAGGGGAAAGGGTACCAAACCTGAGACCGCAGGGGTGGAAGATCCAGTGGCCTCCATCAGGTTCGCTGGTGTAGGCTGCGCACGGGCAGCGATGGTCGGGGAAGAGTCGGTGAAGTCCGGCGACGGGGTGATGTGTAGTGAAGCCGATGGTGATGACGGTGGCGTCTTCCCGTCGCTGGCTGCGCACCCTTGCTAGATCGGACTTAGGGTTTGTTGGTGGGGCGGATTGGCTCACGGTGAACCTCGTACCTCGAGCCGCCAGCCCCCACCACTTTATATAGCGCAGTGCGACGGGGGCCCACCAACCATGTAGGGTTGGGCGCCCCCGATCAGGGCGCGTGACCAAGTCCCAATAGGCCGTTGGGCTTATTGGCTGGGAGATCAATCTAGTATGTGTTAATCTAGGTTTATTATCCGACGAAATTCTGGGAATAATCGGTGTCATCAAACAAAAGTTGTAGCTCTCACTTGTCATACAAAGATAGGATGGGCCCAAGGAGTCACGCGTGACATTTACCAACCTCTGCTCATCCTACTTACATGGTAACCTTCGCACGGATAGGGAAGACTGGAGCCATCATTTCAAATTCAACAAATCAAATAATGCAAGCACCATATAAATGCTTGCGAGGAGCCTTCAAGCGTTGATAGCACAGGAGGTTAAACAAATGTCTCCCTATCTGTGAGCACGGTCCACAAGGTTTCCAGGTATGGAAGGTACGAGGAACGGGTACGTGTGAGGTGGGTTGACAATTTCAAGATCATAAATGGCACCTTCAGGAAGGATACCATGATAAGCACTGTGATCACCTGCATAAGAATACAAGGCGGAGTTTCCTCAAAAGAACCTAACATGACGAGGGGAGGCACCTTGATGACGCTTCCAAGGGAATCACACCCCAAAGTGTCGCCATCATCGGCTCCTGCTATCTCTAGACGAGGCTTTCACCCAACACACTCCACTTCACACCTGAACAAAAGGGTCGCACAACTGCTCATCATCCGATCATGAAAGCTCCACGGCACATGGTCGGACACCAACACATGTGGCTAAACACAGTTGCATTCGCTAAGCCAGGTGAAGTTTCTTGTCATCCACCACCATACGTAGCTCTTGAGCTGAGCTCATGGAGTCGTTGCAAACAGAAGGCCATGTCGATAGACGGTCGACGTGGCTAGCAACGGTTCTCATGACCCAACAGCGCCTCCTAGAGTTGAATAACATGCACACATGGATGCAAGTGTTAGCAGGAATCACACCTCCTATGACGCGCCCGTAGAACTAACGCTCGCGAGCCTCGGCCCAAGTGGCTTTGTCAGCGAGCACCGTACCACCGGCCTTGAAAGGGCAAATCAACTAGGGGAATAGTAGATCCAGCCGCAAGGATGCCGAATCTGATAACAAAGGGCGCTCGTGAGAAAACCATGAGAGGGGCTGATGTGGGAGTAGCCGGATATGAGATGCTAAAACTAAAGAAAAAAGCGATGACTAAGGTTGGTTTCATCGATCTGAATCACGTATTCAAGGATAGGGTTACTTCATATGATAAATGACGACCTCAAGTGGAGAAGCTTCTGTTCAGGTTCTTAGATAAGAACGCTAACAAGACACTGATACTCTTCCCATACGGCTTCAAGTGAGTGTGAATGTCTTGTGTCCATTTTATTTTGCTTACTCCATGTTGACTTTAGTTAATGAGTTATGCCTGTGTATAAACATGTACCTTTCACTGAATACTGCTGGTCATCGATATGACTAGGAGTCGTGTAAAAATCTTTGACTCAGCGACAAAACTCCGAGCAGATTACCAAGAAATCCTCGATATACTCTAGTGGTAATTTTGGTCTCACACACACTGTATACTCTCTTATGCCATTTTAATGATATAACTCCATTTATTTATTTTGTTGAGCAGTGCCTGGAAAATGTTCACCAAGAAACACCATTATGGTAATTGGGAAGTGCCTCTGCATATAGTCCAATACCCAGTAAGTACTATATAGGTCACCGCATCTTTATTTAGTTCAATTCATTATTAATTACTATGCTTTATTGGTTGATGATGAATCTTTTTCTCGTAAAGTGGTGTCTGCAGCAGGGATTGGGGAACAACTTATGTGGATACTACGTCTGTGAGTTCCTCATGAAGTACTCAAAGAGAACAAGTGAAGAGATCCTCGAAGTATGTAAAAAATATACACAATTTATTTATTACCACTGTGTTGATATAGATAATCATATATATATATATATATATATATATATATATATATATATATATATTCATACTTTTGCTTTCATTCGAATTGAAGATCGAATGGAGGAAGCGAAAGGTCCTGCGATGTGACCAGATCAAAGCAATTCAAGAGGCATTGTCAGGATTTCTTTTGGAGTAGGTCATAGGTCCTAAGGGCGCGTACTACTATGACCCTAAAGAATTCATACCTAGTAGCAAAACGACGGAGGAAGATTAGGGTTGCAAGAAATCCCAAGAATATGAGTACATTTGTGACTTTATTATATATGTACATATTTCATGCATGCATATTTGTATATGTATAGTTTTATATATTTTAGTGTGTTATTTATGTCTAATGCTCGAACGGAACCTTATACGTACGTATATATGGGCGTATATTAGCAGCGTAGAATTCGTATAACAAAAGCTAATCGAAACAAAAAAGAATTGAATTGAAAAGAAACCATAAAATGAAAAGGAATGAAATGGAAAAAATAAAGGAACATTTAGTACCGGTTCAAAAATCCAACTGGGATTAAACATGCCAGTCCCGATGTGATGTTTGGGGGGGCATTTAGTCCCGATTGGTAATAACAATCGGGACTAAAGATCCACTTTGAGTTCTGGTTCTCAAAACCGGGACCAAAAGGAGGGCCTTTAGCCCTGGATTCGCAATTTCGGTTGAGCAACCGGGACTAAAGGGGATTTTTCAACCGGGATTGCAACCTAGTCCTGCACTAGTGCATCCTTTTGAGCGGGACGCAGCTGACAGGGCCACGCTAGAACGTCTGCAGTGGAGTCTCCTCACGCTAGCGAGCACCACTTCCTGTGTGGCCCCTTACGAAGAGCGGCATGGGGCCAAGGGGTCCACCCACCTTTTTTTCTGGGTCTAGTTTACGCCTCGATCAATTTTGCTATAGATTGAATATATAAATTCTTTCTTTATTAAATTTTTTTACTATTAGCATATATATAACCTCAAAACCGAAACATTCCCATATACACTGATCTGAACCTGTTGTTTGGCGCGTTGTTATTCCAGATTAATTACCCGGGAATTTAGAACACCAAGTTGCGTAAAGCATGCACATTGAACACAACGGCCAACATCTGGCGCGTTTGATATTGTCCTGCACGGCCGGCCGTACAATATGTGATATTTTGTTTGTTGCATTGGCCGCTTTCTCTAGCTCCATCGCTGCTTTGCAATTGCATTGCATCGGGGAAGCAGCATGCCAGCAAGCAGAAAGTCTTGATTTCCAGTAGTAATCCTTTGCATATGCTTCGCGTCGGCATAGGGGAATTAAGCATGCTTCCGAGGTTACAAATTTCGTCGCGTCGGTCGTGACGCGTATTTGTGAGAGGTGACGCGCCGTCCTCCTCCGTATATATACGTGCACTCGCTACGACTCATATGCATGTACGTAGCAGTATTGCACTAGCTACTAGCACAATGACTCCCTCGTCCGTTGCTTCTCTTTTCTTCTTCTGCCTACTTCTGCTTCCTGCTCGACATGCTGGCGCTTCCTCCCTAGGGTCCAGACAAGTTTTTTTCAAGACACCTGGCAGGTCATCTGGCAACTCAAAGCAGGCCTCCACGGTGCCTCCTGCAACCACCTGCTCGTCTATATATGTTATTTGGCTATTGGTTATATTTTCTACATCTTACTACATCTGTTCTAATATCTTACTGTACGTGCGCTATTATAACTCCTATGAGCATGTGCCCTGAGTTTCGGGTCATGAAATGGGTAATACGTAATTTTTAATCGGTAACCAGAACTTATATTCTCTTCTTAATTGAAGGCCAACGCTCCTGCCAATAAGTAAAAAAAAATGAAATGGGCAATAAACCAATTAATATGTAATCATGTATACTAATACTCTTTGTAAAACTGTCAAGTACCTACCTTTATGCTCGAGAAAGTGGACGGACACATGGACATGGAGAGAAAGTGCAATGGACAAAAAAATTGGATGAAACTTAATTGTTATATTATACTAGTATAATGCCCGTGCTAACGCTACGGCAACATTTGAATATATACAAATAACATTCCGATGTTTTTCTTTTTGAACAATTACATTGCAACTCCACTAATTACTATACAATGAACGATTTACGTGTCTATGCAAACAAAAAAAATCATAAGCATTAGAAGCCGACTGCTTGACAATGCCATCTGGTACTCTGGTAGTCTTCTTTAATTTTTTTTATGCACAAAGAAGCCGATGGCTATGTAAGTTCGTGGTTTGCTAGACGAAATTGACTGATGTTCTGAACAATGCATTGAGATGCATCTAGCCTTGCTAAGTGCTAAAGGCTCACTCTACAGAAAACTCCAATGAGAAAATAGGTGCATTTAACTTCCAGGATAAGTAGCTTCTTCCTCCTCGTTGCTAAACTCATCATTGCACATTGCAGAGTCTCGTGGTGAGCCGCAGTTGCAGCGTGCCTCTTCCCACTTGATCCACCTTCCTCTTGTTCGTCTTCTTCGAGCAGATTTATCCATTTCATTCAGAATCAGTAAAACATTGTAGGAAAAAATATGAACCAAAGATCACAGAAGAAAGGCATCACCTTGCTACCTGTAAATAGGAACTCCTCACAGTGTTCTCAACTCCATCAGTACTATGATTGGGCGGAATATGCCAATGGGACAAGCCACCATCAAATTCTTTCATCACTGCATTGTCAATCTGATTTGAACCTGAAGAGTGTTCTGCAGAAACAGGTATGTCCCAAGGATTAGTTCTGGTTGTTTTATGTACAGTGAGAGAAGGTTGCTCCCCATTGACCAGATGAATCACTTTTCCTACTGGTACTTGTGAAATCTGTTATATATAAGTAGCAGGGTGATATACACTGCCAGTTTATTTACGAAATAGAAACCAAAAGAAGTTAGGACATATGTAGACATATATTCATGGCAACCTTGTCTGAACCTCTTGTTCCAATATGATTCTTAGATACTCCATTCTCGCCTTGGCCTCCTTTTCTGAAATCCAAAAGCAAACAAGCTAAAAGTCGGTATCAATGAGTTCCCGAACTCAAATAATCCATATCATATTGAGACGTTTTGTCTACATTCACACTTTAGGTTCATGTGATACTGCAAGCCATTGAAATCCCAGATAGACCTGGAGCACTCAATAATTACATCACCACCCTTCCCTCCATTACCACCTGCATTTGTTTTTCAATCATTATCAAGATTAATCATTCCAAATGCGAATAATATAATCCCAGCCTTTGCTTTGTTAAAAAGCGAGTATCGTGAACTAACTTTGATCAATGAAGCAGAGAAACAGGGAAACTTTCAGATATAATATAATTAGCGAGGATTAATATATACTTTGCACATGATTTTTTAGACTTCCAAAATCATCCTCGACCGTAGCATTGCATTTGGACGTCAAACTTAGTGTTTACAATAGCAATGCACCTCTAGCATCAGGTGGTCAAGCATTAGCTCCCCATACAAATGTCATCTCTGAAAATACCATTTTAAAGACTGCTACATATTATCTGTTGGTCAATTAAGCAGATCACATGCAACAGGGCAATTCAAATGAGGACAATAGACGATTAATATCTCACAATTTATGTTGGCATTAGTAATTAACAAAAATAGCGGGGCAGTTCAAATGAGGACAATAGACGATTAATATCTCACAACTTATGTTGACATTAGTAATTAACTGCCTACAATGTGTACCTTCATCGTGCGCTCAATAGCTTACTTTGCCAATGCGATTCCTGGACCAGAGTTTTCTTGATGCTTTCATAAACTAATCCATGAAACCCAAGAAACTTGGCAGCCTGCAAAATTTACTAACGTTTTCAGATTATTAATACGCCAAACAAGTTCAAAACTTAATTAGATATGACTAATAAACAATTAACACGCATACTTATTATTATTGTAATCTGGGCACTAAAATTCAGTTCTAACAAAAAATCATCGCATAGCTGGCAAGCGGGATAGATAATGCTAACGTTGAGCGCCTATGGGAATCTACTTCGTCAGTCCTCATGCCAAAGGCAGCGCACTCTTCCCTGCTGCTCTTTATCTATATCCCATAGACATGATGTGGTATTGGCTACTGATCATTCCCGCCTCATCGCTGCATGCAAGATCTCAGCTCGGCAGCAGAGATGCCGCCTCCCCAAAAATGATGCTCGTCTTTAAATTTCTGGTGTAATAATTTGCCCATTTAAATCTACCTCTCTCTCCCCCAATGTAACTCATAAACTTTGTACTTCGAGCCATGCGCCCCGCCACCCCCATCCTTGCGTCGGCATCTGTGGCTGCAATATATCAGGTGGGGGTAACTCTAACCCCCAGTCGTTGACCTAAAAAACAAGATTCCCTGACATCGAGACCACCACTTTAATTAGTGGATGATGAGTAGGCCACTCAAGACCGTGCCTATTTTTTCAGCTTCTCTGTGATGCCTTTATAAATCAATTCAAAATTTGATATTTATTAGAAGTAGAAGAAAAACTTCATAGCCTATCAAGAGGCCAGGTGTACTTATAGTAATCTGAGCACTAAAATTCAGATCTTCCATAAAAATCATCACATGGCGATTACAGTTCCTCAACAACGGCTTTATCTTTAGTGAGAAAAGTCGATTGCCATCCATGACTGATTGGCGAAGACAGGTCATCGCCCTCTCCTAGAACGCATGTATATATCAGTCCATCCTTGTCCAGTTTCTCTACCCTTGTAGACATAGTGGCTCAGTACTATTGTTACCCCCCGCCACTCTTTGGTTCCACTATAATTTTTCATTTAGTTTTCAGTTGCCATAGCAATGTGTACTGAAATATACACAATTCAAACTGTATGTCTACAACATTCATTAAATAAATATGTAGCGAGTACAGTATTTCTCACGTCTAATGACTACTCGTCTACTCCTATATAGTACTGAAAATTTCTAAACCTAACCCAATTCAGATGCCACAGGCATCGTATGTTGTCTCCTAAATTTCAGTTACTCATTTGCTTTTTTGCGGTGCGTGAGACTACAAAGAAGGCTTAAGACTTAATTACACGAGCCATTTCGTGGTGCGGGGGCATGTTCTGATTGGGCTGCGACTTGTTGGCGGTGAACACCCGAACCAACACTGTTGGTCCACGGCGCGGCGCCGCGACGCAGCGTCAAGCGCTGGTCGAAGTCCCGGCCGTCGTCGTCGCCGCGGGAACTCGGCAGCAGAAGCGCCCCACGTCCCGCACTGCCGCACAAGTGGCTCCAGCATGGATGCCCGCTCGTAACGCACGGCCGGCAGGAACTCGTCGACCCCGCCGACGGCGGCGCCCGCGGGAGCGCTCGTATCCGAGCAGTCATCCGTTTCCGTTTCCGCCATCGGGCCGCGCCAGTTCCTCACGTCCTGGGCCGCAAATCCCATAGACGCCTGGTTCCTCACAACCCGCACCACCATCCTAGCGTCGCCCGCTCCACCTCCAGCCCCGGTAGCTCTGCCCTGCCGCTCCGCCTCTTGTCTCCCAATCCAGCCTCTGGCGCCGCCGCCACGCCCGGGTAGTGCCCTGATCTGAGTCGCGATCTGCACCGGCAGGGAACCCTAGCCGTGGGACGGGGCGAGTCGCAATCGCAAGTCGTGGGACTGGGAGGGGAGATGAGAAGGTGATGTTTAATTTTTTTTTCAGGGTAAAAAAAAGACATCCCAGGGTTCGAAACCTGGCCGATCGGGTGCAAGGATGTGCGTTGAAGCCTTGATTCGCGGTTGGGCCGAGCAGCGTTGAAGCCTCGCGATGAAGCCTAGGATGGATCCAGGCTGCACGATTGAGTTGAAGCTTAGCAGGGATGTTTGTTAGCCCTTGATTTTAATGAAGATAAATTGCTGTGTGTATTTTTTCAGGGTGCATGAAGTTAGAGTCCCTCAGCGGGGACGTTTTTCTGGGTAGACCTAAATTTATTTAAGTTTTCAATTATAGTGAAGATATTTTTGTTGAACTTTTACAGGCGCACACCTACGCAACAACAAGCTACAACCCGTAGTGCGCACCGGCAGAGCCCATGGTCGCCGTTGCACGGGCTGCCGTCCCTAACGGCGTCAGATGTACTGCGTCGTGACATCTCCCGCATGGGGCGCCGTATCTCCTCACAGTCGTCTGTGGTGGCAGCCCCGTCGACGGCGGCCACCACAATCATCCCGGCCAACGGCTCATCGGACACGAGGCTACCGGGCGCGCTGGACTACAGTGTGCTCGTCAGCTACGGCACGCCGGAGCAGCAGTTCCTAGTGCTCCTCGACACCAAAAGCGTTGTCCTATCGCTGCTCCGGTGCAAGCCCTGCACCTCAGATTCCGACGACTGTCCTCTGCGGCGTTCGACACGTCGTGGTCCTCAATGTTTGCCTATGTCCTCTGCGGCTCGCCGGACTGTCCGACCAACAGCTCCCGCGGCTCCGTCTGCCCGTTCAACAACCCGAACTCCTCGATCATCGTAGGCACATTTGTGGAGGACGTGCTCACGCTGGCGCCGTCCATGGCCCTCCATGACTTCAGATTCGTCTGCCTGGATGTGAAATCTCATGACCAGCCGGAGGCCGGGATCCTCGACCTCAGCCACGACCGCAACTCGTTGCCGTCGCGGCTGGCCGGCGCCGGCCCCGCCACCTTCTCCTACTGCTTGCCATGGTCCCCAAGCTCCCAGGGCTTGCTCTCCCTCGGCGGTGACGCCACCCTCCGAAACGACGACTACAACCTCACTGTGCACGCCCCGCTGGTGAGCATCGGTGATCTCGAGCTGTCGAGCATGTACTTCATTGACCACGTCGGGGTGAGCCTTGGCGGTGAGGACCTCCCGATCCCGGTGGGCACCTTCGGAGGCAACGGCGGCACCAGCCTGGACGTGGGGACCACCTTGACCATGCTGGCACCGGACGCGTACGCCCCGCTGCGCGATGCCTCCTGGAAGGACATGCAGCAGTATAACCGCTCGGCGCTGGGGTTCGCCGGCTTTGACACGTGCTTCAACTTCACCGGGCTGGATGTGCTCATCGTTGATAGAAGATTACATGATCACTCGCCATAGATCTAGCATATGTACATATATTTGGAGTAAATAGCGAGTCCTAGAACATATACAAGTACGGAATTAACATATAGAGTGAGAGAGAGATAGGGGTTGAGGAGATGAAAATCATGGGCCGCCTTCGTGGAAGACGAGTTGGCCATGGGATTGCTTGACGGTGGGGCAGTGAAGACCGACGGTGAAGGGGCGCTATCGCAGTGGCGGCGGTGCAGAGGCGGCCGTGTCCGGTGGCGGTCTTCCCGTCGCTGACAGCACCCCCTCTTAGATCGGTTAGGGTTTAGAGAATGTAGGTGGGGCGTCTGGCGGCTCAGGTGAACCTCATGCCTTGTATCCCGGCCCCCATCTCCCTTTTTATGTAGCTGTGCGACGGGGCCCACCAACCATGGAACGGTTGGGCGCCCCTGATCACGGCGCGGATTCAAGGGCCCAATTGGCCCCAATTGGTTAGAGATCATCTAACATTCTCTCTCTTGATGTCACCTTATGACTTAAACTCAACTTACTTACTTTATCTTGTTTCTATTCCATCACAGATCAGTGCATAGAGCGTGCCTCATCGTTATGGTCAGTTGCCATTAGATTAAACAGCTACAATGCACCTCTCTGTTTTGAAACAGATTCTCAACTAGGCCCTTATTGTCCAGGAATCATAGGCTTTCCCTTAAACCCATGCTGGCTAAGTATTCTCTGAACACGCTCGGTGGTAAACCTTTTATAAGCGGATCCGCGAGCATCTGTTCTGTTCTTATATGCTCAAGACTAATTATATGATCCCGAACTTTATCTTTTACAACATAATACTTTTATATTAATGTGTTTGGCAGCACCATTTAACTTATTGTTGTGAGCATAACATACTGCTAGATTATTATCGTAGTATAACTTGAGTGATTTATGTATATCGTCTACCACTTTTAACCCGGGCATGAATTTCTTCAGCCAATTCACCTACCTTGGCCTCATAACATGCTACAAACTCGGCATACATTGTGGACTATGTAGTGACGGTTTGCTTTGAGCTTTTCCACAATATAGCTCCTCATGCGAGAGCGAATATGTATCCTGACATGGATTTTTTGTCATCTCTCACATAATCAGAATCTATATACCCCACTATGTACAGGGAATCAGATCTTCTGTATGTTAGCATGAGACCCTTCGTACCTTCCAGGCAACACAAAACTTTCTTTACTAATTTCCAGTGTTCTATTCCTGGATTACTCTGATATCTGTCAAGTAACCCGATAACAAATGCTAAGTCAGGGCGAGTACACACTTGAGCATACTGTAAACTTTTGACAGCTGAACTATATGGAATCGTTTTCATTTGATCGATCTCATATTGGTTCCTGGGACATTGAAATTCCCAATATCTATCGCCCTTTACTATGGGAGCAGGTGAAGACTTACAATTTTTCATACTGTATTTCTTTAGAACTTTTTCTAAGTATGCCTTTTGTGATAATCCTAAAACCCTATTTTCTGTATCTCGGTGAATCTCTATTCCTAGGACGAATGAAGCTTCATCGAGATCCTTCATATCAAACTTCGAGGACAAGAACTTATTTGTTTCTAGTAGTAGATTAATATCATTGCTAGTGAGCAAGATGTCGTCCACATACAAGACTAGAAAAATATATTTTCCATTCTTGAACTTTGCATAAACACAATTATCCTCTATATTTTCTTGAAACTCAAATTTTCTTATTGTACTATCAAACTTCAAATACCACTATATCAAAGCTTGTTTTCATTCATAAATGGATTTCCTCAGACGGCATCCCATACGTTCTTTTCCTTCCACAACAAAATCTTTCGGTTGTGCCATGTAAACATTTTTCTCTAGATCCCCATTTAGGAATGCCGTCTTTACATCAATCTGATGTAATTCTAAATCGTAATGTGCTACAAGCGCCATTATGATTCTAAAAGAATCCTTACATGAGACTGGAGAAAATGTCTCATTGTAATCTATGCATTCTCTTTACATGAAACCTTTTGCTACAAGTCGCGCTTTAAACCTTTCTATATTCTCTTTGGAGTCATGTTTAGTTTTGTAGACCCATTTACAGCCTACTGTCTTGGCTCCTTTAGAAAATATTTCTAAGTTTCAAACACCGTTGGTTTTCATTGATTTCATTTCATCTTCCATGGCTTCAAGCCACTTGGATGAGTGAGCGCTTCTCATGGATTCTTCAAATGAGGTGGGATCACCCTCTGTTTG